AGAGATGAGGTCTCACCAAGTTGCCCAGGCGGGTCTCGAACCCGCCGGCTCAGGCAATCCACTCACCTCAGCCTCCCAAAGGCGCGGGATTACAGGCTGAGGCACCGAGCCCGGCATTTTTTTTTTAAGTTCTGAATCTAAGCATTGTGATTTAGAAAGCAATCAATTCATTTTAACAAAATAGAAATTGCATGTAATATTAACACAACTTTTTGTTTTGGTTTGTTTTGACCAAATGGTTAAACATGAAATGCAGACATGGAAACAAATGGCTAGCAAGAAAGGATTCAGGTTTTGTGAGGTTAGAACTCATATAATGTGGTGCCCTTCTTTTATACAAATAAAAATTACTAATAAAAATCTAGATATGAGTATTTAGAAAGAGAAAAAAATCAGCAAATTACAAATTTTAAAGAGAAAACAAATACCATACATGTGAAAATCAAGAAAGGTAATATTAGTAATTAGCTGTCTAATACACATTTTGAGATACATTTCTTTTCCCTACATATTTTGGTCACCAATTGAGAAAATAATAATTTTGTAATATATCCTATATAGAGAATAAAAAGAATTCACTTTTTATTCACTTGGTTTAGAAAAGTTTTTTCCAGTTCATAATCCTTATTTATAAGCTTTTGGGATTGTTATCTTACTTGGAAAAATCTTAATCAAGTTTCTTTTATACAAGACTCCCTGGGGAATTCACCAATACATGGGGTATATTTTGAACCGTGTATTAACCTTATCAATGATAGCCTATTGTGTCAAATAAGAATTTTTTTCTAATGTGTGCATGTGATGTACTCTTCTTTTAACGGGGCTATCAAATAATCTAACAGGCTGCTTATTATTTCTTTTCAAAATTCATCTCTTTCCCTCAAGTCAAAAAATAACAGGTGCTGGTCAGCTGCAGAGGAAAGGGAAAGCTTCTACATGTTGGTGGAAATGTAGCTAGCTCAACTTTTGTGGAAAGCAGTGTGGCAATTTCTCAAATAACTAAAAATTTAGCTTCCGTGTGATCTAGCAACCCATCTTCTGGGAATATACCCAGAGGAACATGAATCGCTCTACCTGCACATGTATGTTTACTGAAGCACTATTCACAATAGCAATAAAAATGGAGCCGGACTCAGTAGCTCAGCCTGTAATCCTGCGCCTTTGGGAGGCTGAGGTGAGTGGATTGTCTGAGCCCGCGGGTTCGAGATCCGCCTGGGCAGCGAGACCTCATCTCTACAATAAATCAAAAAATCAGCTGGGCGCGGTAGCACATGCCTGTAATTCCGGCTACTTGGAAGGCTGAGGCGGAAGGATCGCCGGAGCCCAGCAGGTCGAGGCTGCGGTGGACAGGAGCGGCCACTGCACTCCAGTCTGGGCGACAGAGTGAGACTCCAACTCAAAAAAAAAAAAAAGATAAAAAATGGAAACAACCCAAATGTCCATCGAAAGTGGACTGAATAAGGAAAATGTGGTACATATACACAATGGAATATCATGCAGCCATAAAGAAGGGCAAAATCATGGCCTTTGCAGCAACGTGGATCCAGCTAGATACCAGTATGTTAAGTGAACTATCACAGAAACAAAACAAAACAACACATAAGCGGGCCCTAATCACAGGTCACACAAGGATGGAATCAGCCGATGCTGGACACTGCTAGGGGATGGAGGACGAGAAAGAGAAAACAATCAGCAAAGCAGGGAGAAAAGCGTGGCCAGTACATGGCCGTACACTAGGTACCTGGTTCACTATCAGGAGAGAAGGTCAGCCAGAAGTCCAAACTGTACCTGCACACAATTTACTAATGTAGTGAATCCTCACTTATATCCCACAACTAAAATAAAATAATAAAATAGAAACGTATCTCCTCCTCTTAATGAGTTATTGTTTTGGTATGATCTAATCTTTTATTATAATTCACTTCTTGATAATACACAATTTTCTACTGAATTCATCATTTATCACTATCACGTTTTTCATATTCCATTATTTTATTTGGACTCTCAGTTATTAAATAGGTTTAAAATTGCAGAATAGAGCTTCCTATAAAAATGTTCAAATTAGGGATCTGTTGTTCTTGTTTTATTAAAACAATCCAAAATATCTTTTAAATTACATAAAAAGGTCATATTCTCAACTTCCCCTTTGTGTCATTGTAAAAGAGGCCATTCCAACCCCATCCAATATGAGAAAAAATATGACAGAGGGGAACGTAGAACAGGAAGAGTTTCATGACATAAACCAATTATGGCTAAAACAGCTCATTTTTGCAGATCTTACAAGACTGTGACTATTAGAACACATTGTAAGGGCCTTTGCAAGTGAGGGACACTGAGACAAACTTTGTTAGCCTCATAGTAATTACACCTGAGAGACCCCTCAGGGCGTAGAAAAACCAATGCTAATAAAAATTGCCCAGGCCTCAGTAATTTGAAGCCCTGCTCTGCAACTCTGATCTTCAGTGAGAACCAGAAAGCCAACAAGAAAAAAACATTTCAGGTTCTACCACCATTACAGGTGTTTTTCCCCTCAATATGTGTCCTAAAAGCTACTTCTCAAATAAATAAACCAAAAGCATAAACTATGTACTCTGCATATAAGCCCATGAGTAGTTTAAAAAGCATTAGACAATAAACAACATATCACATACCAGAAATGAGGTAACCTGAAGAAATAGCAAGATTCATGTGCACAAGTGATGGATCACCCCTGAAAAAATATATATTAAAAAAATTCTTTTTTTAAAGCATATGGGTTACAGATGACAGCTACTTATTTTTTCTATTGAGATGTAAATACAATACAAATGCCTTCTATAGATTCTTAAATGGTCAGCTGTCATTTTCAAATAAAACCACAAAACACATAGTAACAATTTAATGAAACTGTGATGCATTCTGTGGTACTCGTACTAGCAGAGAGATTACCTGAACCCACACACCCTGAGAAAATCCAGTAGCCAAAAAATCATCTAGTCTACTTCTGATTTGGGGGCATAAAGCATCATCATCATCATCATCATTCTACTGAGGACTAGAAGGATTTGTCTATCATTACACAATTAGGAAATAATTATAAGAAGACAGTTTAACACTGCTGTTTCAACCCTCAACATAACAAGAGCCTACATTTTAGCCTTACTAATGCGCTTTGCTTCAAGAACCAAATACAAGTTGTCAGTCCTTTATCTGATCTAAAATGTGAACTTCTGGTGCAATTAGTACAAATTAAAACTACGATAGCTAAACTATAAATGGAAAGTCATGCCTTCTTTATAAATTTTGATCTGCAAATATGACCAAGGAAAATTAGACCTGGAACAAATTCTGACATAAAAAATGCAAAAGTTTCAAAAATTATATTAGGCTAAACTTGAAAAAGTGAAAATTGATCGACAAATTTATTTATTGATTGATTTTTGATGCAGGGTCTCATTCTGTCACCCAGGCTGGAGTGTGGTGGCATGATCATAGCTCACTATAACTTGAACTCCTGAACCCAAGTGATTCTCCCATCTCAGCCTCCTGAGAAACTTGGACTTCAGGCATGCACCACCACACCAAGCAAGTTTTTTTTGTTTTTTGTAGAGATGGGGTCTTGCTTTGCTTCCCAGGCTAATAAATTTAATTTTTCTTATAAAATTTACTTCTAGCCAGGCGTGGTGGCTCAAGCCTGTAATCCCAGCACTTTGGGAGACCAAGGTGAGAGGACTGCCTGAGCCCGTGGGTCTGAGACAGCCTGGGCAACATGGTGAAACCTCATCTCTACAATAAAAATTTTAAAAAGTAGCCGGGCATGGTAGTGCATGCCTGTAGCTCTGACTACTTGGAAGCCTGAGGCAGAAGGATCACCAGAGCCCAGCAGTTCGACCCTGGAGTGGGTGGCTATGAGCGTACACTGTACTCCAGCCTAAGCGACAGAATGAGACTCCAACTCAAAAAAAAAAAAAATGACTTCCAAAAGAACTGGTTCTGTTGACAATCATGTTAGTGAAATAAAAATGAAAATTTTCTAATTGCTAGAAAACTGTGTAAGTCTGTAAGTCGACTATATTTTTAAAAATCTGGTCAAGGAATTAAATTTGCTAAACTGATTCACTTTTAAAAAATCTTACCAATGAAAATGCATTAATATTGATATACTTTTATGGGAATCATTTCATATTTATGAATAAGAGCAACATCCTTACAGTCAAATGGTGATGGTCATAAGACCTGGTAAAACTGCCCTATGTCCCCCAGATACCACAACTGTCACATTTCAATGCAGTGCTTTCTCAAAACATATCTCCTCTCTAAAATAAATCTGAACTAAATCTTCTAATATAATGCCAGGAAATACAGTTTGCAAAATTTCTGCCATTGGAATGATATTTAAATTTTTCAAAAAGAATCATCTTACAAATTAAGATGCCAAACACAGTTATCAATAGTATTTGAAATCTTCTCATGTGGTACTAAATTTCTCTCACATGGCAATCTATAATTCATATTTCATCTCTTTGATATCAAACAATGAGTCAAACATAAATCTAGGCTGAACATGGTGGCTCACGCCTATAATCCTAGCACTTTGGGAGGTCAAAGTGGGAGGATCTCTTGAAGCCAGGTGCTCAAGACCAGTGTGGGAAACAAATTGAGCACCTGTCACTACAAAAAATTTAAAAATTAAAAAAATATTAGCCAGGTACTGTAGCACATGCCTGTAGTCCCACCTTCTTGAGGCTAAGGTTGGAAAATCGCTTGAGGCCAAGAGTTCAAGACTACAGTGAACCATGATCATGCTGCTGCAGACAGAGTGAGACCCTGTCTCTTAAAATGAAATATAATAAATAAATAAATTTAAAGACAAAGTCTTAGGAACATATTATCCCAGTTGACTAAACTAATGACTTATTTTTGCTCAGAGCAGTGGCTACAATAACTTGGTTTTACCCATTAACTCAGTAAAAATGTTTGCATTACCATCACAGTCTCCTTGTTTGTATAACAACTGCAATACTAAGGAGAAATAGCCTTCATTTGTATTCTAATGTATAATAAATCATTTTACTACATCTGCTGAAATAAGTCTGAACACAAGCACTTTAATAAAGCATCCACCATCAGCATGTTTTGTTTTAAAGTAAAGTAATTGCTGCTCTTATTAAATAATCAAAATCAAAACATAAACCGGCTATCTTGGAAAAACAGCTTACCAAAGTGGATCAGCTTTAGTAGCCTCATCAAATAAGAAAATGTACAGGCCAAAAACCCCAACCACCAAAGAATGGAATGTAGACACTACCCTGAAATGAAACAAAATACACACAAAGCATTTGGACTTTTTTGCAATAAACTTTAAATCATCCTGACAAAACATTTAGCATTCTGAACCAGTTACACCTTGAAGCACTTAAAAACAGGAGTGGAGTATACCTGAGAACGTAATGCAAAATTGACATTTAGAAATCCAAGGGCCACAGGTTTACTTTAATGAATAACAAGGAAGATGCCAAGGTCTACAGTTTCCTGCTAAAAAACGGGTGAATCGCCCCTTGGTTAAAAGTTATAAGGCAGAGCCATACATGACGATGTAGTCAACAGAGTTTTGTGAGAACAGATGGCAACTGGCAAGGCCACTACTACCCTGTGCCCTGCTCTGAACTCCAATGGCATCTCCACAGGATAAATTCCCTCCTCCAATCAGCGGGGGATGACTTCCAAATATACTGGCCTCAACCAACTTCATGGCCTTAAAACAATTCAAGTGGATCAAGACACAATGATTTGTTCTCTTGGAGATTTGTTTTAATGTACACTCGTGCATTATTGCATGCAATTCTTGTAATAAATCTACAAGAAAGCAAGGACAGTTATAATCATTATTCTGAAAGCACTTCTAAACAGAAAAATTGAGAACCATGAATATACACAGAAAATCCACTTTTAAAAGAAACACCCAGCTGGGCTCGGTGGCTCAGCCTATAATCCCAGCACTTTGAGAGGCCAAGGCAAATGGATTGTCTGAGCCCGTGGGTTCGAGACCAGCCCAGGCAACTAGGCAAGACCTTGTCTCTACAATAGCTGGGCATGGTAGCTCACACCTGGAGTTCCGGTTACTTGGAAGGCTGAGGCAGAAGGATCACCAGAGCCCAGAAAGTTGACACTGGGATGGCCATGAATGTGATGTGCCACTGCACTCCAGCCTGGGTGATGAAGTGAGATTCCAACTCAAAAAAGAAAGAAAGAAAGAAACACCCATGTAAAAGCAAAATGTTCTCAAAATTCAGGTAAAGTTTTCATTTATTGAAGGAATAAGGTTTACATTTTTTTAAAAAATCAGTTTCTGTGAACATATCTTGCTAATAATTTAATGATTTAACCAACACCAAAGCTCTATGATACATTACTTAAAGAACTGTATACAAGACACTGTGTGTCTATCCGCATAATGAGGTTTTATTACCCAACAATTTCAGATTTTTCATGTATTTATTAAGAAGCTTACAAGTAATGAAGCTTCCTTTCTCTTCATTAGAACAAAAAATGAGAATAACAAAGTTTTCTCTCTAGAAATTACTGGTGTACAATAAATTTCTCACTACAAAATGACCCCAAATACTTAAAAGGAAGTAAAGTATATCAACCAATATTACACTTGATATTAGAAAACTGCACTGTAACTTGAAAAATCAATATACTTGATCTAATAGATGCTGTGTTCCAAAACAGATATATCATGCTAAATCAAGTCATATTTTAAATTAGCAAAGATTTTTACTATTGTAAAAGCACTGACAAAGAATCCTTTGTAATACCAAAGGGTCGTTTTGAAGTGTGAATAATTAATACAGTTTATGTGGTTTACAAGTCTGGAATTTTCATGCCAAGCACACCCGTATTCTATTTGAGCATAGCAGGATAAAAATGTAAACTCCTTGATATCAAAGAAAATACTCCCTCTAAATAATCATTCAGCCAGTTCTCTGTTGCTATTCAAAAAGTTCATAAAAGAAAAAAAATTTCTTATACTTACCTGTTTTACTGTTTATTAACAATAAAGAAAAGTTAAATGCTACTTGGTCTAATCAAATAGCTCTCACTATAATGAACACAAAAAGCAAACACCCTGCACTCAGTCATACATTATTCTCCATTAAAAATCTATACTATACTTCTGGAAATTCATCCATTAGTGAAAATTTCATATTTTATTCTCTAAAATTAGACTCCTAGCAAAGCAAAATGTAAATTCCATAGTATCTAAAAAGAAGCACCAAGATGCTATCAAAGATGAACTATTTCCATTTTTTTCCAAAGAGGGTTAAAAAGAAATGTTTGTGCTTACACAGAGACAGCACTTTTTAAAGGAAATGTTAATGACCTTTGTAGAATAGCAATTTAAAGTGATTTAATCACAAGTAATGTGAGTATTACCAACAGAAACAATATTGCTCAGACAGGAAGAGTTAAGTTTTGAAGAAATGCATTTAAAAATTGGCTGGGTACAGTGGCTCACACCTATAATCCCAGCACTTTGGGAGGCCGAGGTGAGAGGATTGCCTGAGTCCACGGGTTCAAGACCAGCCTGGGGAACTTGGCAAGATTTCATCTCTACAATAAATCAAAAACTTAACCAGGCGTGGTGGCGTTTGCCTCTAATTCCAGTTGCTTGGAAGACTGAGGCAGAAGGATCACCTGAGCCCAGCAGGTCAAGGCTGCCATAAGCATGCCACTGCACTCCAGTCTGGGCAACAGAGTGAGACTCTGAACTCAAAAAAAATGAGTAGTATTTTCATACAATAGGATGTGATATGTAAGCAACTGGATACAAATAACTAAGAAATTTGTTTAAATGATAAGGTATAAACAACACCTATAAGTATGTTTTCAGAAAAAGCAACAATTAAGTACAACAATCTCTCACTTATTATAAAATGGGCATTTTCCAGTAATCTTTTTTTTCCTCCTGTCCTTTTTCTACTAGATGGCTTAGACCACACATTGTTTGGAGACTCTTTCCTGATTATTAGAAAGAATTATGTGCGTTGTATTGATCCTTGATCTGTATGTTTCAAGACTGGAGGCTGAATTTTAAGACATATGAAGGCAGATTACTTTAAAAGAAATGAAACCTGCTTTTTCCTTGTTTGCACTCGCTACCTCACAGTTTAAGTCCTATGTAAACCAAGCTGTAATGAGAAGCAGGAGCAAATTTTAGAGAAAGAGAAAATACCATTTGAATATCTAAATGAATCTTCATGATCCCAGACTCCTTTTTCAAATAGAAATTCAGTTCCCCAACTGGCAATCTCTTGTATCATAGAATGGCAGTGATAAGACACAATAATGCAAATCATTTTTCAGTTTCATCATTTCATTTTCAACTTTGCTTCCATCTCTTTGTGTCTTTGACTTACAGCATATTCCAAAGAATATGCGTTATAATAAATATTACAGAGAAGAATGCAAATCAGTATGCTTCCACAGCCAGCTGGCAACTTCTTTCTTTTAAATTTTTATTTTAAAGATGTGGGGTACAATTCAGGGTTAGGTATACAAATGGTCATTGTACAGGTGAAGTTTGGGCCTCACTTTGGTCCCCATATCATCTGATAGCTGGCATCTTCTTAATCATCACACACTTCTCCAGAAAGTTAAACAAATTGTTCCTGCCATCTTTCAATATAAGAACCCTTAACTTTTTTTTTTTTTGATTTGGAGTTTCACTCTGTTGCCCAGGCTAGAGTGCAGTGGCATGCTCACAGCCACCCACAGCCTTGACCTGCTGGGCTCAGGCAATCCTTCTGCCTCAGTCTTCCAAATAACTGGAACCACAGGTGTGCACCACCATGCCCAGCTAATTTTTTAGTTTATTGTAGAGATGAGATCTCATATGTTGTTCAGGCTGGTCTCAAACCCCTGAGCTCAGGCAATCCCCTCGCCTCAGCCTCCCAAAGTGCTGGGATTACAGGTGTGAGCCACTGCGTCCAGCCTTAACATTTTTTTGTATGAGATCTGTTTTTCATTTATTTCTAAGGTCAAATAAAAATGTAGACTTAGATTTTCTTAGATCCTAAATGAAAGACTCTTTTTAAATAGTTTAAATAATTGCATTTCATAAACTAGTGGTTTTTTTAGTCAATAATTTTTTCACATGCTTTACCTTGAGTTCCATTCAATCTTCTTTTCAAAGCTGAGACTATTAAAACCTGAAGAAACTTTTGCTGAAAACCAATAGCTTACAAATTGGAAAAGAAGTTGAAAGGTTAAAAAGCTAGTACAGATAATGCTGATGATCAGTTTCCTGTTGGTATCCATATTTCTTCAACCTGTTAAGAGAAATGATGGCTATAAATTGTTATCTCATGATAACCCTAGGTTAATTTTTTTTTTATTTTAAAAAGTATGTACTTGTATCTTTTAAAAGTTAGTACAAATGTAAGAATACAAAGAAACTAAGAATTTTTGGTCTTTTGTTGGCTTCTTCACACTTATCATCTATTTGTCATGTAGCATATGCTTCTATTTAAAATAAAGAAGGAAAAAATTCTTAAAGATCTCAGTATTCTACATTTCAGAAGTCATTTTAACATCATTATATTCAAAATTATCTAAGTCTTAGAGTTAAACATTAAGAGGGAATTTCAAACACTATAATGAAAAGTATTCTCTTAATATTATTTTTAATTAAATTGAAGACAAATCAGCTGATTTGTTTATACCTCAATTTCATCTATGAAATGAGTTGGTTAGATGATTTCTAAGAAACAATTAAACCAAAAATCATACAATTAACACTACAACAGCAAAACAAAAAGTTATATAAAACTAATTGCACAGCAGAACAACATTTAAAACAAAATTAATATGCTTCATAATAGTCTCAGAAAAGAATCATACCACTGTCACTGCATAAATAAGCATTTAACTTTTAAAAATATTCTGCAATCACATGCAAGGGGGACACTCCTCAAAAATGGAATTTGTTTATAAAAAATTATATACTTATTCTTACATGTTTAAACTTCAGTCACCTTCAAAGTACTTTCCATTGGATGCAATACACTTATCGAAATACTCTTTCACTGCTCAACACAATTTTTTGCTGCTGTTTTTATTTTTTTGAGTTGGAGTCTTACTCTGTTGCCCAGCCTGGAGTGTAGTGGCAGACTCACAGCCACTGCAGCCTCAACATGCTAGGTCCAGCTAACCCTTCCACCTTAGCCTTCCAAGTAGCTGGAACTACAGGCACATGCCACCATGTCTGGCTAACTTTTATTTATTTATTTATTTATTTATTGCAGAGATGAGTTCTCACCAAGTTACCCATGCTGATATTGAACCCATGAGCTCAGGCAATCCTCTCACCTCAGCCTCCCAAAGTGCTGGAATTATAGGCATGAGCTCCCATGCCCAGCCTCAAAACAGTTTTGAACTCATCCATTTTGATGCCTTTTAGTGCTTCTGCTGTTTTTTGCTTCACTTCTTCCACAATAGCAAAATGTTTCCCTTTGAGGTCTTTTTTCATCCAGGGAAACAAACAAACAAAAAAGACTGCTAAGGGTAAGACTGGGTGAATAGGGAGGGTGGGACGTGGGGTTCATGCCCTTTTTGGTCAAAAACTGCTGAACACTTGGTGTGGTGTGAGCACGTAGGTTGTCATGGTGGAAGAACCAGTCACCTGTTTGCCACAACTCAGGATGTTTCTTCCACCAAATCTGATGTAAACTTTTCAAAACTTCCAGATAAAAACCTTGGTTGAATGTTCAATCCAGAGAAACACATTCTGAGAGTACTACAGGGGGCTTGCCCTTCAAAAGATGACTCTGGGCTTTTTTTTGGGGGGGGGGGGTGGGAGGGCTCATATATCCTTGAACCAAAAGGACTCCATGGTTTTGTATTGCTTTTTTTAAAAAAGAGTTTTATAAAAGAGCTTCAGTAGAGTTAGTGAAAAAATAGTTATGTGCTGAACTTTATTTGGTTCTTAAAAATCTTAGAATCATTCATACTCAAAAGAAAGACATGAAAGCATTTGCTCATATCCAGCAAATACAGCATTTCTTTGATCCTCTAATGAAAAGGAAATGGATTCACATTTCCATTTGCCTAATGTGAAGAAATAAAGTCAGCTACTGAAGCTAATTCACCAGAAGAAAACACATATTGCACTAGCAATAACCTCACTTCATTCCCTTCCAACTAGGAAATCATAATAAGAATCAGGCTCCCAGTGGATTCATATGTCTGTAATGAAGTCATTCCTCAGTCATTTGTGTGTGTGTGTACTTGGTAAAAATACTGATACTGAAATATCCATCTCTAAAACCTATAATAACCTATAATGGCTTGCTTGACATAAGTAACTCCATTTTGTAACAGGTTCTCCATTTTGGCTGTTCATACCCAGAGATGACCCCCTCCTGCATGACCTTCCCATAATTACAAGTTGCAATCTTCCCGTAATCACAATCCCACACCCTTGTTTCCCCTCGGTGCTTGGAAACTCCCTAATCACAAATTCTGTAGCTATCTGTACCTTTGTGCAACCAAAAACCAAATGTTCTGCCAAAAATATAACCAAATTGTACAGCTTTAATGGCTTTTGCATTTATAAACCCCCTGCTTACTCTGCTTGGGGTTGAGAGTTTTCCTGGCATGAGCCTGCTCTTGACTGCCAGCAAATAAAACTCAAAAATTCAATGCTTAGCATGTTGGCACCTCCTTTCTTGCAATCCGGCTATAACATTTGCAGGCCCCAGTGAGACAAGTCAAGCTTGGGAGGCAGCCTCATTCTGGCTTTCCCTGGCTTGGTGGAAGAGTTATAGGGAAGGCGCCCCCTGAGATGTTCCAGGGCCCCATAACCTTTCATCTGGCTCAGAAGGAGTTGGAACAACCACCGGCTTCCCATTGCCTCAAAATACCTGAGTCCATCTACATTCTCCTAGGAGGTAAGAATCTGTTCTGTTTGTGTTCTGTTTGTGGCCACAACTCTATTAAGGGAATCATGGTCTGACAAGGCCATCCCTTGGACACTAATCATTAGGCCAAGATGTTGGCTGAATAGAGTCCCGGTTCAGTTTCTGCTTTCAGTTTTAATTTGTTATCACTGGTTTTTTGACTGGGTTTAGTCTGATTCAGTTTCTACTTTCAGTTTTAATTGTTATCACTGTTTTTTTGACAATATAGGATCTCAGATTTCTAAACCCTCTAGTCCTCTGGACTACATGATGAAGAATTTCTCTGTTGGATTTTCTGCTGAGGACTACAGTGTCCACCTTTCAAAGACAGGCTCCAGACCCTCTGTGAAACTGACTGGCCTCCATTTAATGTTGGATGGCCCGCCACAGGGTCTCTGGATGTTCATGTCACTGAGTCTGTTTGGAAGGTTGTTACAGGGCCTCCTGGTCACCCTGACCAGTTTCCCTTTATTGATCAATGATTAAACTTGGTCCAAAATCCACCCCGATGGTTAAAGCCATGTTCCCTTGAAACTCCCAGTCATGTCCTTGTTTCTAAACCTCTGCTTTGTAAACCTGCACCTCGTCTATCCTGTATCCCTCCTTTTCTATTCTCCCTAACTCCTACCTTCACTGGGTTGTATCCTGTCTTACTCCGTTCTACTGAAGATCTCCTTGTGGACCCGGTTATCTCTAACTCTAATCCTCTACATTATAATATTCAAGCTTCTTCACCTACCATCACCTCCTCCATCTCCCTTTTGCCCTCTCTGCCTCTGGCTACTCAACTCCAATCTCAGACTGATCTGGCCACTCTCCTTCCCCTCCAGGAAGTTCCTCCTCCACAGCGGGCAGATCAGACTGAACAGCCTTTCTTGGTATACACTCCTTTTTCCACTTCTGATTTACACAATTGAAAATTCCAAAATTCGCTGTTCTCAGAGAAGCCACAGGTTCTAACTTCTCTGATGGAATCAGTCATGCACACTCATTGCCTCACCTGGGATGATTGCCAGCGCTCCTTTTAACCCTATTTACCTCTGAGGAGCAAGAGCACATTAGAGTTGAGGCTAGAAAATCTGTCCTAGCCTCAACCGCAGGCACAGAGGAAAAAAAGTCTATTCAAGCTTCAACTGCAGGTACACAGAAAGAAAGTCAGAAAATGTTAGATGAGGTTTTTCCCTCCTATCACCCAGACTGGGACCCTAACACTTCGGCAGGGTCTAGGGTATTAGAAACGTGTCACTGGACTCTTATCAGTTGGCTTGAGAGGAGCTGCCCAGAAACCTATCAATCTTTCTAAAATTACCAAGATTCTCCAGGGTCCCAAGGAATCTCCAGGGGCATTTCTTGAACACCTTCAGGAGACTTTTCATACCTATAACCCATTTGATCCCTCAGTCCCTGAGAAAGCACGAGCTATCGATTTGGCACTTGCGGCTCAGGCAGTTTTGAACATCCAGAAAAAGTTACAAAAGCTTGAGGGATTTGCAGGAATGAATATTTCTAAGCTACTTGAAGTAGCCCAAAAGGTTTTTAATAACTGGGATACTGAGAAACAAAAGCAGGCAACACAAGAGACAGATAAAACAGTCAGACGTCAGGCAAAAATATTGGTAACTACCCTCCAAGCCTCCCAAACTGACTCAAAACTGCCACACCAGAGAAGGGGAGAAACTAAGAAAAAACAAAAGGGAACTGTGTGCCCCCCCATTAGCTAAGAATCAATGTGCATATTATAGGGAATTCAGTCACTGGAAAAAGGATTGTCACCATTGCCCCAAAACAGATGACCCCAAGCCAGTTTTGGTTCTGCCCTCTGCTGGGGGAACTGAAAATGACTCCAATTGAAGAGGTCAGGTCTCTTTTTCCTTAGGTCCCAAGAGCCCTTGGTAACCACCACTATCAGGGGCCACCCAGTCCAACTTTTAGTGGACACTGGGGCAGAACTGTCAGTCTTAAAGTCATCATTGGGACCTATGTCCAGCAAACAAATTTCGGTTCATGGGACAACAGGGGCAATTACCAACTGCAAACTCACTTCTAATTTAACTGTTGATTTAAGATGGAAATGGGTCACACACTCATTCCTCATAGCTCCAGACTGCCCATTCCCTCTCACGGGCCAGGACTTGCTTCGAAAGTTAAGAGCCACCATTGTTTTCACCTGACAAAACTAAAATGTTTATTCCCACTGCCTACCAAATGCTCTTAACTGTTTTGCTTTCTGAAGAATACCTTCTAACTTCTTCTAATTCTCCCACTGAGAATGTCTCATCAAGCTTACTTCTACAGTACAGAAGGAGTTTCCTTCAGTCTGGCAGAGACCAACCCACCAGGATTGGCAAAGCATCACCCTCT